GTCAAGCTGGTCCAAGATGAGCGCAGCGTAGAGAGGGTCGTAGCTGTTTCTACCTGTACGGGCGGAGGGGGCGTAAGGGGAGGCAATCTGGTTGAAGCCGTGCAATAGACCGGGATGGTTGATATCAAGGGCATCAGCAAGGAGGTAGTCGTTGAGGAAGTTGTTGTATCCGTTGCCGTGTCGTGGTGCGTATCCAGATCGTGCAGCAGTAGGTACCCGTGCAGCCTGCCTAGGTTTGTCTTGGTTGATGATAATCACCCTTGGTTGTTGGTTGGCATACCCTTTGACAGTCCTGGGCTGCACTTGCAATCCTGAGGCACCTGGAATTAAATCGCCTAGGTATTAGAGTGAGTGAGTATGGCGTTTTCGGCAACATGACTTCTACGATCACAAAAGAAAGGGTGTCCCACATTGTTTCAATGTCGGAAACAAAGTTTTGAGATTGAACAGCCAACGGTTTAACAGCTATATTGGTCCTCTGCCGTCAGTTCCTCAGAGGTATGCATGATAGTGTGTATGGCCCATGAAAGTCCAGAAGGATGGAGACAATAAAATCATAACGATTTCCATCAACGAATCATTGTTAAAACACACTGATGATAGGAGGTCAACAGTCAGGAATAAGGAAGAATACCCAATATTTGCTAGAGGTAATGAGTAGTTAAACGACTCAGAGGGACATCAATAAATTTCATATTTTTTTGCTCCGGGTAATGAGTATGACGATGCGATTGACTTCAATACTTACGAATGTAACGGGCATCACTTATGACACACAAACAGGCCAGGATGGCAGCAGGTAGAATTATAGCCGTCCTCATGATTCGGGTGGTTGTAATTTCTGTTCTGTAAAAGTGAATGTATAACGAACATTAATGTTAAATGCAAGATGATATAGTATATTGAAAAGTAATATTTAATGCAAGTTATATCAACAAACATAATGACAACACACGTTGAGGTGTAGTTATGGTTAGGCGACTATTATATTTGCTTTGGTTCAGAGTTTACTATTTACATTGACTGACTGAGATTTTATGAAAGCTAACAAATGACACATTCGCACACAGATATTTACATCTCCCGAACAGGTGGTGAGGTAAAATGGGGTTTAATGTCGCTTTCAAAATTATTGCACTCATATAGTGACATGTATGCACGTGTGTGTTTCTGTGTATTTGCTTGTACTAGTCCGGACTAATGCCGATTTTATAGTGCTAGCCCACTGGCATTGCCGCAGTTTAACATGAATAGTGAGTGAGTGAATATGGTTTTACGCCGCTTTTAGCAATATTCCAGCAATATCACGGCGGGGAACATCAGAAATGGGATTCACACATTGTACCCATGTCGGAAATCGAACCCGGGCCTTCGGCGTGACGAGCGAACGTTTTAACCACTGGGCTACCCGACCGCCCCTGCACATCCTAGGGCGAACACCTGGTATCATCACTTCTGATAGTGATCCATAAAGATATGCCTATGATGTAGTCTGAATCGCACAATGGATATTTCTTATGAGCTTTAACCACCAGGCTACCCGGTCGTCCCTTGACATGAATACCACACTCAGACACATTATACTGACTCTGAGCCGACCAGTCCTTGCTTTAGCCCCTTAATGCCGAGCGCCAGACAGGGTAACAACAAGTATCATCTTTTTTGTGTATTTTGGTTTGACGTGGCCAAGGATCGAAGCCCGGACCTTCCGCTGTTTCCAAGGGGCGATCTCTAACGGAAAGGTACTTAATACACAATAATATAAGGATGCTGAAGAACATGACACGTGAATACATCAAGTATACAAGCGATATTAGACTCCACAGTCGGTTTACAAGAAAAGATAAATTGAAAAGAAAATATAACAAACAGTTGGCTCACCTGTTGCTGCTGCTCTGTGGCTACAATTGGAGAATGATGGTGTCCAGAGAAATGAGGAATACTTTTATACGCCAGCCGGACATCCTTCAGGGAGCATCGTGACACAGTGACGTCACAGTGGTCACTGTCATGCAACTTACCCTGACAATACCATGCCTGTATTGGTTGGACAGTCAAATTCGTTTGTGATGTAAGTATGAAATGCTACTATGTTCTTACATATAACAAGACGTCCATCATAAATCAAGCCTCCTTGTACCCATCAACGAGATGAAAATATCCCGAGGCAGAATTTAGACAAAAACAATTACAGGTTCATCAATAGATTTAACAACAATTACATATTCATTGACAGTGACTAACACGAATGCCTGTCATACAAAGATTTTAAGGAATGCACAGTGTGTAAAACTATAGTTTTGCCTAGAACAACCCGTGACAAGATGAAAAAATGAATTGCTTTAATGTTGACATCCTATACAGCTGATGAATGATTCCTGAATGTAATTTTATAAGATTTCCAACTTGAAATGGTCACTTTCATACTTATGGAAAAGTGTTTAAAGCCCCACCCTGACTATAAATAGCCCGCAAGGTGGCGGTGTTTCAGTTTCGAACAATGACTGACAATGTAAACACAACCGAGTGTCGGGAGAAGTCTTTTGAAAACCATACGGGAACCAGATCACCATTGACCGTCAAACTTCGTATCAACTTGAATGACAAACCATGGATCCCAAAAATGGATCCATATCAAGATATAAGTCAATAAATTTTCTGTAGTTTTATCATAAAAAATCGAATCGATCGTGTTTGGCGTCTGCATCAATCACAGTGGGCGGAGCTTATTTACGGTTGCGCTATAAATAGCAAAGCACATGGTCATGTATACATGTGACACATTAAAAAATGAATGCATTTGTGGTCAAAGTGTATTGTGTTGTATATTTTTACGGCAGAACAGCAGCAGAACATCAGTTTCGGTTAATGTAACAGTAACGATACTTAAATACGAAATTGACATAGCGATTCTATCAGTTCAATCCGAAAATTACAGATATTTGTTTAGTTTTGGTCATTTGCATTCAACAGTCAACATTTATCTGAACATCATTTCGAAGTCTGTGAGGCTGTCCGTATTTTTTAAAATATTTTTATCTCCATTCCGACGTGAAATAATATAATGTCTTCGTGTCTCAATTTTGCTGCCGCTGTGGAAAATTGCGCACCGATCTAATAAAAGAAATACTACTAGATCTACCATTGCACCGTCATAAAAGAACCAGGTCAACTTTATCTTTGTTCCGTTGTTTATTCAAAATTCGTTTCCGAAGCAAAGCGAATCGATCTACATCATAAATTAATTCATAGACTAGATTCTAGTACGAAGTGTTAAACCTTTTTTTTAAATGTCTTAAAATAACTTAAAATAAGACATTTTTTGATAAGTAATATATTTTATTTCGTCCACCCGCTCTCTGGTTAGTTGAGGCTTGAGGGGAGAAACACATACAAAAAATATGGATGGCCTTATGCAAATGCCACTTGGCATGCCAATCAAGAGGGATCTGGGTCACTGAGATCCGCCAAGTTTCACGGATCGAGTTACTTCGGCATGAGGCGCTTCATCGGACAAGTGTGACTTTGACCAAAATACATTGCTACTGGGCAATAAAAAAATGTCACGGAAACGACAAAAAACTACTTTGAAAATATTTTTTACCATTACCAGGGTTTTTTACACGATCATTGTCATCCAGATTCTAGATGCGGCAAGACGAACACAACGAAGAAAAACACTGTTGAAATCACCGATTGCCGTATATATTGTGAGAAATGTTATTTATAAACTGCATATATACCGTACACCACAGGATAACGATTGATGCCGTAACACTTATTATGTTTTATGTTCAATTACACTGCTCATATTCATCACGACAAACGTATTTCGTTCTCGTCCAGGACCCGGTTGTATCAAACTTTAATGATGCATTAACTAATGGTGCATTAAGCATTTAATGTATCATTAGGGTTTAATGTAGCGATTAGTTAATGAGGCTTTGATACAACCGGGTCCAGAGATCTAGAATATAGCTCAGAACGAGAACATCTATAAGTTCTGTGTTGGAGTACGTTGGATAAATCGTGGACATTCCGCGCTATCATTTTATGAAGGTGTGAAGGTTTTGAAACCAAAGACCTACGCGTTTGTTGAAAAGTCTTGGAATCGTTTGATAGATATTTATTACTTTTAAAACTTACGTCCTTGTTGTCAAACGGTCCACGTGGGTGGGTGTTTAAATGACGTCACCCGTTAGGCATTAACCAATGAAATGCGTGTGTTATCAAGACGTCATATTGACCTGCCAGATCACTCGTATAAGCTCCGCCCACTAGAGTGCGGTAGTGTGATTAAGAGTGGGTAATTATATAAGTGTAATGCATGGTGTGTAATTATATAAGTGCAATGCATGGTGTGTAATGAATTATGTGTAGTATTATAGAATTATTATTATTATTATTATTATTATTATTATTATTATTATCATTATTATTTATGTTTAAATAGTTACAAATCATTGAACCATACCATCATTACCTGAAAACCTCGGTTTAAGCTTAACTCAATGGCACAATGTAAGTAGAGAAAATAGAATATGCACATTATGTTTATAAATATATAACTGCGAATATCCTTCAATTGAAAAGTATTTATCACTAATGTCAATAAAATATAGGCATATCTATATGTATATCTATATATATATATATATATATATATATATATATATATATATATATATATGTATACCAATGCACTGAACATATCTATGTCTATAAGTGTGAGCATATGTACATATGTCTTCCCTGCATCACGTGCTTTGACTTAACTTGTAGTGTATGACCTTAATGTATAATGTATAATGTGTAATGTGCTGTGTGATTCATAGTGTGTAGTGTATGTTCGTATGATGTGTTCGGTGCGATGAAATTCTCTTTAATATTCTCACCCCATTTACAAGTAGTGCCATATAAATATACATATGTATACATACATTCAAGACCATACCGATACAGTGAGTGTGGTGGAACAATCGATAACAATGAATGCAAGGTAATCAATTAAACATTTTATTTCATTAGACAGAAACCATGACACAAAAGCATAATCTCAAAAACTCAAAACTAAAAAAAATCCGTCTCATGTCACTCCGAGAAAACATTTTTCGTTAAAAGCACATCATCTAACCAACGATGGCGGAGCTGGCTCCAATTGGCTGAGCGTCAAGCTGGTCCAAGATGAGCGCAGCGTAGAGAGGGTCGTAGCTGTTTCTACCTGTACGGGCGGAGGGGGCGTAAGGGGAGGCAATCTGGTTGAAGCCGTGCAATAGACCGGGATGGTTGATATCAAGGGCATCAGCAAGGAGGTAGTCGTTGAGGAAGTTGTTGTATCCGTTGCCGTGTCGTGGTGCGTATCCAGATCGTGCAGCAGTAGGTACCCGTGCAGCCTGCCTAGGTTTGTCTTGGTTGATGATAATCACCCTGGGTTGTTGGTTGGCATACCCTTTGACAGTCCTGGGCTGCACTTGCAATCCTGAGGCACCTGGAATTAAATCGCCTAGGTATTAGAGTGAGTGAGTATGGCGTTTTCGGCAACATGACTTCTACGATCACAAAAGAAAGGGTGTCCCACATTGTTTCAATGTCGGAAACAAAGTTTTGAGATTGAACAGCCAACGGTTTAACAACTATATTGGTCCTCTGCCGTCAGTTCCTCAGAGGTATGCATGATAGTGTGTATGGCCCATGAAAGTCCAGAAGGATGGAGACAATAAAATCATAACGATTTCCATCAACGAATCATTGTTAAAACACACTGATGATAGGAGGTCAACAGTCAGGAATAAGGAAGAATACCCAATATTTGCTAGAGGTAATGAGTAGTTAAACGACTCAGAGGGACATCAATAAATTTCATATTTTTTTGCTCCGGGTAGTGAGTATGACGATGCGATTGACTTCAATACTTACGAATGTAACGGGCATCACTTATGACACACAAACAGGCCAGGATGGCAGCAGGTAGAATTATAGCCGTCCTCATGATTCGGGTGGTTGTAATTTCTGTTCTGTAAAAGTGAATGTATAACGAACAATAATGTTCAATGCAAGATGATATAGTATATTGAAAAGTAATATTTAATGCAAGTTATATCAACAAACATAATGACAACACACGTTGAAGTGTAGTTATGGTTAGGCGACTATTATATTTGCTTTGGTTCAGAGTTTACCATTTACATTGACTGACTGAGATTTTATGAAAGCTAACAAATGACACATTCGCACACATATATTTACATCTCCCGAACAGGTGGTGAGGTAAAATGGGGTTTAATGACGCTTTCAAAATTATTGCACTCATATAGTGACATGTATGCACGTGTGTGTTTGTGTGTGTTTGCTTGTACTAGTCCGGACTAATGCCGATTTTATAGTGCTAGCCCACTGGCATTGCCGCAGTTTAACATGAATAGTGAGTGAGTGAGTATGGTTTTACGCCGCTTTTAGCAATATTCCAGCAATATCACGGCGGGGAACATCAGAAATGGGATTCACACATTGTACCCATGTCGGAAATCGAACCCGGGCCTTCGGCGTGACGAGCGAACGTTTTAACCACTGGGCTACCCGACCGCCCCTGCAAATCCTAGGGCGAACACCTGGTATCATCACTTCTGATAGTGATCCATAAAGATATGCCTATGATGTAGTCTGAATCGCACAATGGATATTTCTTATGAGCTTTAACCACCAGGCTACCCGGTCGTCCCTTGACATGAATACCACACTCAGACACAGTATACTGACTCTGAGCCGACCACTCCTTGCTTTAGCCCCTTAATGCCGAGCGCCAGACAGGGTAACAACAAGTATCATCTTTTTTGTGTATTTTGGTTTGACGTGGCCAAGGATCGAAGCCCGGACCTTCCGCTGTTTCCAAGGGGCGATCTCTAACGGAAAGGTACTTAATACACAATAATATAAGGATGCTGAAGAACATGACACGTGAATACATCAAGTATACAAGCGATATTAGACTCCACAGTCGGTTTACAAGAAAAGATAAATTGAAAAGAAAATATAACAAACAGTTGGCTCACCTGTTGCTGCTGCTCTGTGGCTACAATTGGAGAATGATGGTGTCCAGAGAAATGAGGAATACTTTTATACGCCAGCCGGACATCCTTCAGGGAGCATCGTGACACAGTGACGTCACAGTGGTCACTGTCATGCAACTTACCCTGACAATACCATGCCTGTATTGGTTGGACAGTCAAATTCGTTTGTGATGTAAGTATGAAATGCTACTATGTTCTTACATATAACAAGACGTCCATCATAAATCAAGCCTCCTTGTACCCATCAACGAGATGAAAATATCCCGAGGCAGGATTTAGACAAAAACAATTACAGGTTCATCAATAGATTTAACTACAATTACATATTCATTGACAGTGACTAACACGAATGCCTGTCATACAAAGATTTTAAGGAATGCACAGTGTGTAAAACTATAGTTTTGCCTAGAACAACCCGTGACAAGATGAAAAAATGAATTGCTTTAATGTTGACATCCTATACAGCTGATGAATGATTCCTGAATGTAATTTTATAAGATTTCCAACTTGAAATGGTCACTTTCATACTTATGGAAAAGTGTTTAAAGCCCCACCCTGACTATAAATAGCCCGCAAGGTGGCGGTGTTTCAGTTTCGAACAATGACTGACAATGTAAACACAACCGAGTGTCGGGAGAAGTCTTTTGAAAACCATACGGGAACCAGATCACCATTGACCGTCAAACTTCGTATCAACTTGAATGACAAACCATGGATCCCAAAAATGGATCCATATCAAGATATAAGTCAATAAATTTTCTGTAGTTTTATCATAAAAAATCGAATCGATCGTGTTTGGCGTCTGCATCAATCACAGTGGGCGGAGCTTATTTACGGTTGCGCTATAAATAGCAAAGCACATGGTCATGTATACATGTGACACATTAAAAAATGAATGCATTTGTGGTCAAAGTGTATTGTGTTGTATATTTTTACGGCAGAACAGCAGCAGAACATCAGTTTCGGTTCATGTAACAGTAACGATACTTAAATACGAAATTGACATAGCGATTCTATCAGTTCAATCCGAAAATTACAGATATTTGTTTAGTTTTGGTCATTTGCATTCAACAGTCAACATTTATCTGAACATCATTTCGAAGTCTGTGAGGCTGTCCGTATTTTTTAAAATATTTTTATCTCCATTCCGACGTGAAATAATATAATGTCTTCGTGTCTCAATTTTGCTGCCGCTGTGGAAAATTGCGCACCGATCTAATAAAAGAAATACTACTAGATCTACCATTGCACCGTCATAAAAGAACCAGGTCAACTTTATCTTTGTTCCGTTGTTTATTCAAAATTCGTTTCCGAAGCAAAGCGAATCGATCTACATCATAAATTAATTCATAGACTAGATTCTAGTACGAAGTGTTAAACCTTTTTTTTAAATGTCTTAAAATAACTTAAAATAAGACATTTTTTGATAAGTAATATATTTTATTTCGTCCACCCGCTCTCTGGTTAGTTGAGGCTTGAGGGGAGAAACACATACAAAAAATATGGATGGCCTTATGCAAATGCCACTTGGCATGCCAATCAAGAGGGATCTGGGTCACTGAGATCCGCCAAGTTTCACGGATCGAGTTACTTCGGCATGAGGCGCTTCATCGGACAAGTGTGACTTTGACCAAAATACATTGCTACTGGGCAATAAAAAAATGTCACGGAAACGACAAAAAACTACTTTGAAAATATTTTTTACCATTACCAGGGTTTTTTACACGATCATTGTCATCCAGATTCTAGATGCGGCAAGACGAACACAACGAAGAAAAACACTGTTGAAATCACCGATTGCCGTATATATTGTGAGAAATGTTATTTATAAACTGCATATATACCGTACACCACAGGATAACGATTGATGCCGTAACACTTATTATGTTTTATGTTCAATTACACTGCTCATATTCATCACGACAAACGTATTTCGTTCTCGTCCAGGACCCGGTTGTATCAAACTTTAATGATGCATTAACTAATGGTGCATTAAGCATTTAATGTATCATTAGGGTTTAATGTAGCGATTAGTTAATGAGGCTTTGATACAACCGGGTCCAGAGATCTAGAATATAGCTCAGAACGAGAACATCTATAAGTTCTGTGTTGGAGTACGTTGGATAAATCGTGGACATTCCGCGCTATCATTTTATGAAGGTGTGAAGGTTTTGAAACCAAAGACCTACGCGTTTGTTGAAAAGTCTTGGAATCGTTTGATAGATATTTATTACTTTTAAAACTTACGTCCTTGTTGTCAAACGGTCCACGTGGGTGGGTGTTTAAATGACGTCACCCGTTAGGCATTAACCAATGAAATGCGTGTGTTATCAAGACGTCATATTGACCTGTCAGATCACTCGTATAAGCTCCGCCCACTAGAGTGCGGTAGTGTGATTAAGAGTGGGTAATTATATAAGTGTAATGCATGGTGTGTAATTATATAAGTGCAATGCATGGTGTGTAATGAATTATGTGTAGTATTATAGAATTATTATTATTATTATTATTATTATTATTATCATTATTATTTATGTTTAAATAGTTACAAATCATTGAACCATACCATCATTACCTGAAAACCTCGGTTTAAGCTTAACTCAATGGCACAATGTAAGTAGAGAAAATAGAATATGCACATTATGTTTATAAATATATAACTGCGAATATCCTTCAATTGAAAAGTATTTATCACTAATGTCAATAAAATATAGGCATATCTATATGTATATGTATATCTATATATATATATATATATATATATATATATATATATATATATATATATATGTATACCAATGCACTGAACATATCTATGTCTATAAGTGTGAGCATATGTACATATGTCTTCCCTGCATCACGTGCTTTGACTTAACTTGTAGTGTATGACCTTAATGTATAATGTATAATGTGTAATGTGCTGTGTGATTCATAGTGTGTAGTGTATGTTCGTATGATGTGTTCGGTGCGATGAAATTCTCTTTAATATTCTCACCCCATTTACAAGTAGTGCCATATAAATATACATATGTATACATACATTCAAGACCATACCGATACAGTGAGTGTGGTGGAACAATCGATAACAATGAATGCAAGGTAATCAATTAAACATTTTATTTCATTAGACAGAAACCATGACACAAAAGCATAATCTCAAAAACTCAAAACTAAAAAAAATCCGTCTCATGTCACTCCGAGAAAACATTTTTCGTTGAAAGCACATCATCTAACCAACGATGGCGGAGCTGGCTCCAATTGGCTGAGCGTCAAGCTGGTCCAAGATGAGCGCAGCGTAGAGAGGGTCGTAGCTGTTTCTACCTGTACGGGCGGAGGGGGCGTAAGGGGAGGCAATCTGGTTGAAGCCGTGCAATAGACCGGGATGGTTGATATCAAGGGCATCAGCAAGGAGGTAGTCGTTGAGGAAGTTGTTGTATCCGTTGCCGTGTCGTGGTGCGTATCCAGATCGTGCAGCAGTAGGTACCCGTGCAGCCTGCCTAGGTTTGTCTTGGTTGATGATAATCACCCTGGGTTGTTGGTTGGCATACCCTTTGACAGTCCTGGGCTGCACTTGCAATCCTGAGGCACCTGGAATTAAATCGCCTAGGTATTAGAGTGAGTGAGTATGGCGTTTTCGGCAACATGACTTCTACGATCACAAAAGAAAGGGTGTCCCACATTGTTTCAATGTCGGAAACAAAGTTTTGAGATTGAACAGCCAACGGTTTAACAACTATATTGGTCCTCTGCCGTCAGTTCCTCAGAGGTATGCATGATAGTGTGTATGGCCCATGAAAGTCCAGAAGGATGGAGACAATAAAATCATAACGATTTCCATCAACGAATCATTGTTAAAACACACTGATGATAGGAGGTCAACAGTCAGGAATAAGGAAGAATACCCAATATTTGCTAGAGGTAATGAGTAGTTAAACGACTCAGAGGGACATCAATAAATTTCATATTTTTTTGCTCCGGGTAGTGAGTATGACGATGCGATTGACTTCAATACTTACGAATGTAACGGGCATCACTTATGACACACAAACAGGCCAGGATGGCAGCAGGTAGAATTATAGCCGTCCTCATGATTCGGGTGGTTGTAATTTCTGTTCTGTAAAAGTGAATGTATAACGAACAATAATGTTCAATGCAAGATGATATAGCATATTGAAAAGTAATATTTAATGCAAGTTATATCAACAAACATAATGACAACACACGTTGAAGTGTAGTTATGGTTAGGCGACTATTATATTTGCTTTGGTTCAGAGTTTACCATTTACATTGACTGACTGAGATTTTATGAAAGCTAACAAATGACACATTCGCACACATATATTTACATCTCCCGAACAGGTGGTGAGGTAAAATGGGGTTTAATGACGCTTTCAAAATTATTGCACTCATATAGTGACATGTATGCACGTGTGTGTTTGTGTGTGTTTGCTTGTACTAGTCCGGACTAATGCCGATTTTATAGTGCTAGCCCACTGGCACTGCCGCAGTTTAACATGAATAGTGAGTGAGTGAGTATGGTTTTACGCCGCTTTTAGCAATATTCCAGCAATATCACGGCGGGGAACATCAGAAATGGGATTCACACATTGTACCCATGTCGGAAATCGAACCCGGGCCTTCGGCGTGACGAGCGAACGTTTTAACCACTGGGCTACCCGACCGCCCCTGCAAATCCTAGGGCGAACACCTGGTATCATCACTTCTGATAGTGATCCATAAAGATATGCCTATGATGTAGTCTGAATCGCACAATGGATATTTCTTATGAGCTTTAACCACCAGGCTACCCGGTCGTCCCTTGACATGAATACCACACTCAGACACAGTATACTGACTCTGAGCCGACCACTCCTTGCTTTAGCCCCTTAATGCCGAGCGCCAGACAGGGTAACAACAAGTATCATCTTTTTTGTGTATTTTGGTTTGACGTGGCCAAGGATCGAAGCCCGGACCTTCCGCTGTTTCCAAGGGGCGATCTCTAACGGAAAGGTACTTAATACACAATAATATAAGGATGCTGAAGAACATGACACGTGAATACATCAAGTATACAAGCGATATTAGACTCCACAGTCGGTTTACAAGAAAAGATAAATTGAAAA